GGCAGGACGGTTGCCGGTCAAATTTTTGAATCTGTTGTAGGCACTTTGTTGCTTCTTCACTGCAACCTTCCAGTCCGACCAACACTTCACCATTTATAATTAAAAAATATACTTTGGCATTAAACCAATAAATATTTTGCAGTTCATACCTTCTTCCACTGTTCAGCGGTCTTGCATGCACCCCCGCATGCATTTAGCTCCCCCCTCACCGTGTCCCACACTTGTTGGGAATTTTTTGCGCCACTGACGCCCACAAATTGGCCACTGGCTACACGGGTGTTAGCCCTCATTAGTTCCAACAGTTTGGATTTTTGTTGTTTTGTTATTTTTCCCGTCCGTACTTTTTTCTGTAAAAAATAAAATTTTTTTGCTTGAAATTAATAAAAATATCAGTTAAAATCATACAGACCTCGCTCATATTGGACGCTTTTCGCTTCGAAAACCAAACTTCACTTGACTTACAGCCAGTGATATATTTATCGCATCATTTATCGCAATATTTTTCTCACCACAGTTACAGAAACACTCGCTTGCGATAAAAATGAAAAAGCGTTATATTTTACGATATTGGGTGTATCGCAAGGTTACAGAAACGCACTACAGAGTGGTGGCGTTTCGCTGATTTAGACGTACTTATATCCAAAATATGCTGAGTGGCGGGGAACATCAAAATAGACACCCTTTGCTGATCACTGGTGGATATCAGTAGAAGAGTCTTAAAATCAGGTATCTAACGTTGTCTTTTGCGTTTATGAAATATAAATATGCCATAACGTTATCGCCTGAAAAATCGGACTTTTGAAAATATTGATTTCGGTAATTTTCTTAAAAACTGGTCATTCGTATTTATTCTTAGTTTCTTCAAGTATACCCCAAAACCCTAGCTTTCATTTGGTATATGGCTTATATCTGGGAAAACTCTTGTTGTGGAGATGTTGCGATTCAAATTGAAAAAAGTGGCTCCTAATAGCGACAAATGGTTCAAAATTAACATATTCGTCTAATTTGGTTACTTTCAGTTATCAACATAATATACTCGATTCTCCGCAAAAAACTGTCCAATCCCCGATTGCTACCTAAAACGAAATTCCCTGAAAATCGGGGGAATTTCACGCGAGTTGGTTTCCCTACACGCGTTACAAAATTTTTAGGCTGTCTATGTCGACTGGTGTGCTTTGTTGAACTCGGCCAAAATCGCTTAAGCGGTTACAACGCCAAATAGGAAGAAGAATAAGAAGTATGTCGCTTTCTGATTTTTATAGAAATCTTTTTATTTTTCCTGGTTTCTTTGTTTTCATATAAATAAGTATATATTCTTCATATACATAAGCATATACATACATATGTATATATATACGCATTCAGTGTTAATGCTATGATATCGGGCGGGATATTTGGTGAACCGAGCTAGCGTTATTGTGATTAATTACAAGTTTATATACCCGGTTCAGGTACCAAATATCGTCGTTTTAACTTTCTCTAAATTGCCTTTGCACGGTAATCAGGACTGTTTTTCCCGATTTCATACGTTTTCGATTATATGCTGATTTAGACTTAATGATATAATTGAACCATGTTTGGTAGAAATCGATAAAGTGGTTACCGAGATATAACTTTGTAGTCATGAAGTGGGCGGTGCCACGCCTAATTCCTAAAGGTCTATAGCATTCTTATGTATTGTTAAAATATTGTTGTAACTATTAACTTGGAGTAAATTAGCATCCTCAGTTATTGAAATATCGGAGTTTTCTTATTTCTGAAATTTACCGTTATATGGGAAATGGGTGTAATTTTTGTCCGATTTGGATAAATTTTAACGAATTGCTTTTCCGTACTAAGGTTATTAAGTGCACTGAGTTTAGTAGGAATTGATAAATCGGTTACCGAGAAACACACAAGTGGTCATAAGGGCACCACGCCCACTATCCAAAAATTTATAATAATCTAATTTTCTGCTAAGTGGTTATTGCAATCATCGATTCTAGGGGAATTAGCTTTAATAGTTAGTGATTTATCGCAGTTTCGATTTCTAATATTTCAACATATATCGTGTACATAAATTTAAAAATCACTACAGCTTCAAATTTTTAGAGTTTTGTTAGTTTTTAATTTCTTGAAGTTTCCACTCTTTAATAACTTGAGTGGAATTCCAAAATTTTCTAAACTTTCAAATCTTTGTGAATTTGAGAAATTTTAGTAAACCCCAATAATTCAATATAATGATGAATACTTGATTTCTAGAATTTTTTTTTTTTAATTTGGAGAATTGTAGGAATTCTAAAAAATTTTTTCGAAGTAAAAGTGTCGAATATACAAAATTGATCAAACGCAATTAAAAGTTTTCGAATGTTGAAAACATTTTCATATTTAGTTTTTTTTGAAAATTTAAAAAAATTTCCTAATTCTTGAAGATTAAAAAAATTTTTGGAAAATATAGAAAATTTCTAAAATCTGAATAATTTTGTACATTTCAAAATATTCTCATTTTACCAAAATTTCTAGAATCCCCCGGATTTCGATAGTTTTTGAAATTTTGGAAATTATCCTAAAAATAAGGAATCCCAAGAAGTTTAATAATATTATAAAATTAAAAATTTTGGAATTTTCGTTGTTTTCTGAACCTGCGAAAATATTCAAACTTGCTGCGACTTTCAACTGTGTCAGTTTCCCCTACCTGTGTCCGCCACTGCGAATACAGTTGCTTATTGTACCTAATGTTGGTACCAAGTTGCTACGTTTTTATAATTTTTCACATTTAATCTTTTTTTAATTTTTATATGTATATATTATTATTATTTTTTTTTTGNTACATACATATGTATATATATACGCATTCAGTGTTAATGCTATGATATCGGGCGGGATATTTGGTGAACCGAGCTAGCGTTATTGTGATTAATTACAAGTTTATATACCCGGTTCAGGTACCAAATATCGTCGTTTTAACTTTCTCTAAATTGCCTTTGCACGGTAATCAGGACTGTTTTTCCCGATTTCATACGTTTTCGATTATATGCTGATTTAGACTTAATGATATAATTGAACCATGTTTGGTAGAAATCGATAAAGTGGTTACCGAGATATAACTTTGTAGTCATGAAGTGGGCGGTGCCACGCCTAATTCCTAAAGGTCTATAGCATTCTTATGTATTGTTAAAATATTGTTGTAACTATTAACTTGGAGTAAATTAGCATCCTCAGTTATTGAAATATCGGAGTTTTCTTATTTCTGAAATTTACCGTTATATGGGAAATGGGTGTAATTTTTGTCCGATTTGGATAAATTTTAACGAATTGCTTTTCCGTACTAAGGTTATTAAGTGCACTGAGTTTAGTAGGAATTGATAAATCGGTTACCGAGAAACACACAAGTGGTCATAAGGGCACCACGCCCACTATCCAAAAATTTATAATAATCTAATTTTCTGCTAAGTGGTTATTGCAATCATCGATTCTAGGGGAATTAGCTTTAATAGTTAGTGATTTATCGCAGTTTCGATTTCTAATATTTCAACATATATCGTGTACATAAATTTAAAAATCACTACAGCTTCAAATTTTTAGAGTTTTGTTAGTTTTTAATTTCTTGAAGTTTCCACTCTTTAATAACTTGAGTGGAATTCCAAAATTTTCTAAACTTTCAAATCTTTGTGAATTTGAGAAATTTTAGTAAACCCCAATAATTCAATATAATGATGAATACTTGATTTCTAGAATTTTTTTTTTTTAATTTGGAGAATTGTAGGAATTCTAAAAAATTTTTTCGAAGTAAAAGTGTCGAATATACAAAATTGATCAAACGCAATTAAAAGTTTTCGAATGTTGAAAACATTTTCATATTTAGTTTTTTTTGAAAATTTAAAAAAATTTCCTAATTCTTGAAGATTAAAAAAATTTTTGGAAAATATAGAAAATTTCTAAAATCTGAATAATTTTGTACATTTCAAAATATTCTCATTTTACCAAAATTTCTAGAATCCCCCGGATTTCGATAGTTTTTGAAATTTTGGAAATTATCCTAAAAATAAGGAATCCCAAGAAGTTTAATAATATTATAAAATTAAAAATTTTGGAATTTTCGTTGTTTTCTGAACCTGCGAAAATATTCAAACTTGCTGCGACTTTCAACTGTGTCAGTTTCCCCTACCTGTGTCCGCCACTGCGAATACAGTTGCTTATTGTACCTAATGTTGGTACCAAGTTGCTACGTTTTTATAATTTTTCACATTTAATCTTTTTTTAATTTTTATATGTATATATTATTATTATTTTTTTTTTGATACGAATGATGTGATCGTCCTTTTTTGGCTTTATTCTGTATTCGAAAAATGATATGGTTCAATGAATTTGAATTCAGTGTTAAATATTTGAATAAAAATCATGCAGATTTAGATAGCGTTTTTAGAAATTTATTTAAGAAAAATAAAACATGTACACCCAAATTCATAAAAAATAAAGAAGACTTTAACTGCTTTATAANTTATTTCTGAAATTTACCGTTATATGGGAAATGGGTGTAATTTTTGTCCGATTTGGATAAATTTTAACGAATTGCTTTTCCGTACTAAGGTTATTAAGTGCACTGAGTTTAGTAGGAATTGATAAATCGGTTACCGAGAAACACACAAGTGGTCATAAGGGCACCACGCCCACTATCCAAAAATTTATAATAATCTAATTTTCTGCTAAGTGGNCAAATTTGTATGAAAATGTCTTTTCATATAGCTTTTTAAATCTATTTAATTTTTTATGAATAGGGCCGTTAGATTTTTGTTTGCATTTTCGTTGATTTTTAATTTGCTATCCCCATATCATGGCGCAATTAACAGGTGAAGTAATAAAACAGCATTCCCTGTTCATTTTCTGACATTCGGCTGTCTTATATTTCACAATGTTGCGTTTATTCGTTGAACGTTTTATGTGTTGCTCCTTTGGAAGTATTTACATATATTTTGGGGGCAATTTGGCCATTTATTATTTGATTGCAACATTGTTTTTTTCTAAAATTTTCCGTTTGAATTTTTGTGGAAAATTGTTTTTTTCTAAAACTTTCCGTTTGAATTTTTGTGGAAAAATACTATATAATTTATTTGTGATTAAAAAATTAATAATGCCTAGCCAAGCTGTGTAATTTGCTCAAAAACGTGGACTTACGGAGGCGTCCGTTTGTTCCATTCACTAGCGGAACAGGTTAGGCTGACTAAGTTGCATATTTCAAATACTCTTGCACCACCAACTTCTCCGAAAAATTATTATCCCACATCCATGAAATAGAAAAAATACGAAAAAGCTATTTTTTAAGTGCAGGATGCATTTCCATATAAATTATTTTAAGAAGGGCTTGAAAGGCTAAAGGTACAATCGATTAATCTTTATAAACCTCTCATATATAACTATTTAAATTTATTTATTTAATCCTTATAACCATTAATATCACGCGTTGCGTTTTTGTACTCACGTTGCTGATTTCATGAATCTAATTTCATCTCTTCATAA